CCTATGAATGTCTTTATGAGTTAAATGTGTTTCTTGTATACAGCATATTGTTGGATTTTGTTTCCTAATCCACTGTGCCAGTCTATTTCTCTTATTTGGCAAATTGAATGCATTTACATTGATGGTCAGAATTGAGATGTATCGACTTACATTTGCCATGTTATTACCTGTTGTCGTCTACTCCTTTATCTCCTGTGTTTAATTGCTTACCCTATTTAGTTGGTTGCTTCCGATCTCATTTGTGGTGTTTTGACCGCTTTAGTCCCTCTCTAGAACATCTATCAGTAGTCTGTGTACGGTTGGCTTTGCCATTGCGAAATTCTTTAGCTGTTCTTTGTCACGGAAGTATTTCACTCCTCCATCAAACTTGAAAGAGAGTTTTGCAGGGTATAGTAGTCTGGGCTGGAATTTGCTTTCATAGAGTACCTGAAGTAATCTCCTCCATATTCTTCTTCCCTCATGGTCTGTGAAGAGAAGTTGGCCGTAATTCTGATGGGTTTTCCTTTGAATGTGATCTGCTTCTTCTCTCGAGTGGCTTTCAGTAGATTATTCTTGTGCTGAATTTCTGGGATCTTGACTATTGTATGTCTCGGTGTGTTTTTCATTTGGTTGAGGTTCCTTGGCGTTCTGTTTGTTTCAGTTACGTGAACGTCAGAATATTTTCTCATATTTTGAAAATTTTCTGCTATTACTTCAGCCCATATTTTTTTAATGTCATTGATGTTGACTCCTTTCTCATTGATGCCTATTCGTCTCACATTGTTCATCTTTGCATCATCTTGCAGGTGATGAATTATTCTTTCCTTCATCCTTGTTTTTAAGAGATCCTTTCTTACCTTTTTGCTAGCTACAGCAGCATCTTCAAGATCTGCATCTCTGTCTTCACATTCACTTAAACGGTTTTGCAAGTTTGTGATTGACAGCTTAATTTCCTCTATATCTCTTTGACTCTGCTTCATGCAATCTATTTCTTTCCTGTATTGCTCATTCGGGAATCCCACATTTTTCTAATCTCCTCTATTTTTTTTAAATCAATTTCTTCTTTAGAAGCAGTTAGAAATTATTTTACTGCAATGTTTTTTTCAGATTGTGTTTCCTCCCTATGTTTCTGTAGTTGCTTCTTTACTTCATCTGCAATGAGTTCTGAGAGTTCTCTTTTTATTTCAGAAAAAAATTGCCCTCTGATTTCCTCTATATCTTTCTGCTGTTGCTTATTTACTTTCGACACTATTAATTCATGCATTTGAGCCGAGCTAGTATCCTCTGCACTTGTTCTGGGTGAGCAATTGGTTTCTTCCGTATGTTTCTGCATTTGATTCTTTAGTGCAGATGTTATTAATTCAGGGATTTCTTTTTTCTTTTCCAATCTGAGGTCTTCTACGTCTTTCTGCAGCTTTTTTTTTATTTCAGAAGCAGTTGCTTCATTGCTTTCAGCTGTGTGATTTCCAATTTTTTCTGTGTTAGTGACTTCTGCACTTGTTACGGTTGGGCTTTGGTTCTGAGGTTGCATTTTGTTCCTTCTCGTCATTTTGTGGAGTACTGTCTTCTGACCTGTGTTGTAGATCTTTGGTGTAGTTATAACTTTCACACGTACTGAAGTTCAGGGGCAGCTCTACAAAATTTGGACTTATCCAGCTGCGTCTGGCTTGGGTCTGACTGGTGTGTTCAGCTCCTTCCCGTTGCTGCCCTTAAGGGTGAACCTGTTGTGCCCCTGTGGGGAGATGTTCTGCTCCTGGACTAGTTGTTTGGATCTATCCTCTACTCTCTCTGCAGGAATTGCAGCTGCAGGATTACACCCCAGCCATGTATGACAGGCCTGAGCTGTGCCTGGAGGAGGCAAGGTGAAGTAGGGGGAAGAGGAAGCTCTCCGCACACACTCACGGGACCTATGATAGGACGGGATCTGAGGGCTCCGGGACGGGGCAAAAATTACTACTCTGTGGGCGGGGCGAAGGAGGCACTGCGGAGTGGTGTGGGGCGGCCCAAGGGGATGGGAGAGAGTCCGGCCCATGCTGCGCCTGGTTGGGACTGGTCCTGCCAGCGCAGGGTAGCAGGAAGCTCTCGGCACACTCACCTGACCTGGGCTAGGACTGGGTCTGGGGGCTCCCAGATGAGTTCCTGTATATCTTTCTGCTATTGCTTATTTACTATCGACGCTATTAATTCATGCATTTGAACCGAGTTGGTGTCCTCCGCACTTGTTCTGGTTGGGCACTGGATTTCCTCCGTATGTTTCTACATTTGATTCTTTACTGCAGATGCTATTAATTCTGGGATTTCATTTTTTATTTCCAATCTGAGTACCTCTTTACCTTTCTGCAGCTGTTTTTTGCTTCAGAAGCCAGTGATTCATTGCTTTCAGCCTTGTTCCCAATTTCCTCTGTGTTAGTGTCCTCTGCACTTGTTACGGGTGGGCTTGTGTTCTGAGGTTGCATTTTGTTCCTTCTCGTCATTTTGTGTAGCACTGTCTTCTGACCTTCGTTGTAGGTCTTCGTTGTAGTTATAACCTTAGCACGCACTGAAGATCAGGTGCATATCTACAAAGTTTGGGTTTCTCCAGCTGTGCCTGGCTTGGTTCTGGCTGCTGTGCTCAGCTCCTCACTGCTGCTGCTCTAAGGGTGAACCTGTTGTGCCCCTGTGGCCTGATATTCTGCTCCTGGACTAACTGAGTGGTTCTATCCTCTACTCTCTCTAGGGATTTCAGCTGCAGGGTTACACCCCAGGCATGTATTGCAGGTTGAGCTGAGCCTGGAGGGGATTAGGTGAAGCAGGGGGGAGAAGCTGCTCTCCCACACACTCACTTGGCCTGGGATAGGACTGGATCTGCGTGTTCCCGGAATATGGCAGAAATTCCTTTTTGGTGGGTTGGGTAGGGGATGTCCTGCGGAGTGATGGGTTCATCCCAAGGGAGTGGAAGAGGGTCTCACCCATGCTGTGCCTGGACTGGGATGAGTAGTTGGTCCCGCTGGCACAGGGTAGCCGGAAGCTCTCCCACAAACTCACCGGACCTGGGCTAGGACTGGGTCTGGTGGCTCCCGGAACGCTGCAGAAATTCCTACTCGGCGGGTGGGGTGAGGGAGGTCCAGCGGAGTGGTCAGGGGCATCCCATGGTGGTGGAAGAGGGACTCCCCCATGCTTCGCCTGGGCTGGGAGGAGTAGTTGGTCCCGCTGGCACAGGGTAGGTGGAAGCTCTCCCACACACTCACCGGACCGGGGCTCGGATTGGGTCTGCTAGTAGTTATTAAGATGGCAAGATTCAGACATGATATCTTGTGTAAACAATATTAGTACAAATCTTTCTTAATGAACTAGGAGAAAGAATCTGTATATCGATCCTAACATATATATAT